TGTGCCTGGCCCCACTCACTGTCACAGGCAGGTGAGAGGTCCCACTCTCTCAGAGCCGATGGCCTACCAGACTGTGAAGGACGTATTGGTAGAGGTTCATGCTGGGAAGATAGTTGGCCACCTCTGGGCTTTCTGAGGGTGGAAGCTCTGCAGTGCAGTTATGTTCCTTTTGTTCCACTTTTCTCTTATACCCCCTCAACCTCCCTGAGCCTCAGTTTCCCCATCTGTCAGTTGGTTTAACAGTAGCTCCTCCCTGGCAGCATTGTGACCAAGGACACCGTGGGGCCTTGTGTGGGGAAGATCGGCACTTGGGGCAGCTTGTCCTCTAGCTCCTTGTCCTCCTTTATCTATCCCTCAAGAAAGGCTTGGTGGTAGAAGCTGGCCCTTGGCTTGAGGGCAGGAACACTGGGGTTCTTTTTCTAACTATTTCTGACTATTTGCCGACTGGGGGTGCTCTATTGTGGATTCAGATTTGGATTGTGTCCTTGGCATGTTGGAGGAAGTTTCTTTCCTCAGGATCAGATGATTTGGGCCTCTGAGCAGGCTTTGGGGTGCACAGAGGCCTAGGGGAAGTGTGGATGCAGTGCTGGGGTCCCAAGGATGCTTTGTAGCTGGTATTCCTTACTGCCTCTCAGGCCCTGTGTGGTGTGAGCCTGGGCTGACTTTGGGTCACCGGGGGTCATTTTTAAGTGGACCGTGCTCACCTGTGCCAGCTGCTCTCTTCCTCCCACCTAGAGACCATGAAACAAACTGAGGCAGGGAGGACAGGGGCTGACAGGGCAGCCTGGCTTGAGAAACCTCACTCCCAACCCTTGGGGACTGGTTGAGGGATAAAGGGCCTGTCTTGGGTGTGGACAGGGATGAACTTTGGCGACTGGTAGATGGCTGGAGGGGGCTGTGCCTTCCCTAAGTGACCTCCGCTTAGGTGGGCTCCTCCCATCTGGAGCCCTGTCTACATTTGGAGCACCAGCTTCACCTCTCACCTCACTCCCCTGGCCTGTCACATGACAGGGTCACTCCTGGGATTTTGTGACATGGGAACCTCAAGAGCAATACTTGCTGGTCACTGTTTAAGAAAATGGACCTGCGTCTTTGCCACCATCACTCCCGCTGGATCCATTGTTGCCAGGTCCTTCTGGCACCATTTCATGTCACCCTCCAACAACTATCTGAGTAGGGATCCAGTCACATCCTCTTATAACCAAGGAACATGGGGCACAGAGGAATATCATGTTATCATGTCATATAGCCGAAGTCACACAGCCAAGGCACTAGGTCTGGTTCCATGCTGTCTCCACTCGGTGGAGTGGCCTCCCTGCTTAGCCACTCTGCAGGTCATTAGCAATGGGAGCAGATGTGGCTCGAGGCCCTGCTTGGTGCTGGAGCACAGGCAGGGTGAGATGCACTCCCAGCTCAGGGACAGGCCAGCGCCCCTTACTGCCCCCACGTTCATTAGTGTGTGATGGTGGCCATGGGTCCCCCAGCAGGTGGATGAGGGAGGGTGGGAGTGACTTGTTCCTGAGCAGCAGGTGGTGCAGAACACAGATGGGAGACCAGGAACAGGTTGCCTGGTGGCTGAGAGGGTCCAGACAGAAGGAGTGGCCAGGAAGCATCCTGAAGGCCAGGGAGGTCCTAGCACCTCCTAGGGGACGTACTGAGGTCATGGCCGCAAGTTAAGAGCCAGAGATGCCTCTGTGCCTTGCTGCTTAGGTGTGACATTTCTGAGATGTGCCCTTCCTGCCTGAGATGTCCTGTGGCCCTTCCAGTGAGCCTGGTGGTATGGTTCCAGCTTCCCAGGGCCATCGGTGGTCCTGAGCCCCTCTGGAGCTCTCACTTTGCATTTAAATCTTAGTTGCTGTTTCATGCACGCATCCCTTGTGCCTGCCGGGGAAGAAGGTGGGTGACTGGAGGACACCATTGCTTACTGAGCCCTGCTCTCGGGGGTGCACCGCGAGTGGCGTGCTAGTGCAGCTCATGCCGGTTCACAAGAGCCAATTGCTGGGCTTTCAGGAATTTTGTGAGCTGGCCATCAATAAAAATGAAAGTATATAAACTTAAAATCAGATATGTAATATTGCAAGCCACAGGAGGTAGCAAGTCCCCGAGGCTTGCCATTTCCGAATCACTGACCACGTTTCACTGTGACCTGTGCTCCTGAGGTATGGGTCTCCCTGTGTGCTGTGCATCAGGGCCACTGGCCAGGGCAGTGGCCGGGGACGGGCCCACGCGTGGATCAGGCTTCGCTTCCCTTCTGTGGGTTGATAAGTGGTGGGGGGTGTTAATATGTGGTGCAGAGCTGGCGGGGAGCCTGGGTAGGTACAGAGTTGAGAGGCAGCATAACATCCGGGTTCTGAAGTCAGGAGCATCTGGGGTCCACCAGCTGCCCAGCATGCAGGACTGGGGTGGGGGTGGAATGGGGGTAGCTACCAGACAAACCTCAAGTTTGGGCGAATCTGCATGCCCTCAGGTGTGAGCATCCTAAGCCTGATGCTGGAATGACAGTGGCCAAGGGCAAGTAGGGGTGTGTGGGGACAGCGTCAAGGGCCACACCGTAGCCTCCTAGGGCCTCAAGGATCCAGAGGCCCAGGAAGGCCGAGCTGGCTGGCAGGAGTTGTGTGTGGGACAATCAGAGTGGCCATGAGGTAGGACATTGGACCTGAGCCTCGATTATGCTAGTACCTGGCCTCCTGTTCACCCTGCAAAGCCCGGGAACCCACTGGTTGCTCCAACCTCGCACCCTCTCCAGCTGCCCAGTTGACTGTCCATCTGGGGGTCTAACCATAATCCCAGGCCTTTCTGACCTCAAGGTTTAAGGGCCATCATCCCTGAGGACTGGGACTTGGCACAGGGACAGGCCTTGGTCTTGCTCAACATCTGTGAGCCCTCCAGGAATGTTGCTTAGGAGGGGGGGCTGGCATCTTGTGGAAGAGTGGACGCTGTTTATCTGGGGCTCAGTGAGGGAGCCACAGATAAGGAGGGGGTGAGGGGTGCAGCCAGGCCCTGGCTTGGGGGGGTTGTCAGCCACAAAGCTGTGGACCCAGGCTCAGAAGCTTCAGCCAGTGGTGTGGGGACACTGTGGCTTAGGCAAGCGCAGGGGAATAGTTTTATTTTTCAATTGGGTGGGAAGGGAAATAAAGCACTCTGCCATTCCCAAGTGCAGGGTTCCCACACACTGCCTCCTTTGTGTGTCTGGAAGCCATTCAGCAAGCTTCCAGAGAGCGAGCTGAGGTGCTCCAGGACAAGTGGGGCTGGACTCTGTCCTGTGGCTGAGAGGGGTAGGGTACCACTGGAGCTGGGGGATCTGGAGAGCAGTGAGTCCCACTGCCCTGCCCTGCTGGGGCCACAGGAAAGGGATCGCACACCCCAAGCCTTGGGCAGTAGGTGCCACCTTCCTGGGCCTGTGTTGTCCAGCTGGCTCTCAGGCATGTGGGTCCAGGGTCCTAGAAGCAGCCCTGGAGTGGCCACAGCCAGGGGCATTTCTAAGCACACCTGCTTCCAGATGTGTCTAGAGATGATGGGGCCAGGAGTGAGGAAGATCTCACTCTGAGCAGATTTCACCAGCTTGAGGAAAACTGCCCTTTGCTGGGGCCCTGGGTCCTGGGTGGTGGCAGTTCTTCCATAGCCATCTTGATTCTGAGATAAAGGCACACTCCCCTCCAGAAGGTCAGTTGGTCCAGCCAGATCTCTGGTGCAGCCCAAGGAGGGGTCCAGTGAGGGAGGTGGAGGCCACCTGAGAGCCCAGCCACACCAGGGAGCCATCAAGGGAAGGAACCATTTTCTTTTAAGAAGTGCCCTGCGTGGGACTCCATAAGACAAGGGGAGGGAGGTGGGGGCGGGGGCTGTAGGCACGTGGGGAGGGCCCGCCCTGGAGAGGACGGTGGGCTGAGGAGTTAACTTCCTCCCATGGACTCTAGGCAGTGGGCAGCTGGATGTGGGGGAGGGCTAGGGGCCAGTGGAGGGAGCACACATGACAGCAGCATCCAGGACAGGTGAGACTTGGGCAGACATTGGCTTGATGAACAACCCCGGAACCTGGCCCTGGGACAATGGCCAGTGCACAGGCTCCTCGGCCTGGTTTCCTTCTCTGTAAGTTGGGGTGTATCAAGTTGAACAGGGTCCTTCCCAGATTAATGCCCATCTGGGCACTGTGAAAATGACCTTACATGGAATAAGGGTCTTTGCAGATGGTATTGAGACGAGGTCCTGGCGTGGAGTGGGCTGCACCTCAGCCCGTTTACGGGGTGCCTATGTGGATATGGAGGACGTCCCTCTCTGGGGCAGGTATGCGTGGAGGCACAGTCTGGGACCCTTCCCAGTGGCCTGCTTGGTGGCATGGAGTTTGATCCTTCCTGACTGCAGTATGAGCAGTTCATCCTTTTGAGGAACCCAAAGAGGGAGGTGGGGCCTGTGTGCTCTCCGAAGACCCCTTACTCAGGTGGCTGCATGTTTGGGTGCCCTCCCCGGGCCTGTATTGCAGCCAGCGGGACCCTGGGTTTGTAGCTGAGCTGGAGAGACAGCTCCAGTGTATAGCTGCCTTCAATTCAGATGGTGCCAAGCTGGATACTTGGCCCTTAGTCCCCTTTCCCAGTGCGGTCACCTCATTAGCTTGCTGAAGCTGAACTGAGAAGGCAGCCCGGCCTCAGGGTACTTGAGAATCCTAGACAAGGGGACCCTCCCAGCCTGGAGTCCTCTAAGGAGCCAAGGACTGCGTGCAAGAGCCTGCCTCCCTTGTGTCTGCCCAGGTGCACGCTGTCTCAGTGTCCTGGCAGACCCTCGTCCTCCCAGCATCAGGAAACGTGGGCAGGCGTTTCCAGAGCAAAAGGAAGTAGGTTTAATAGGCTTTACGTTGCTACATGTCCCCGACCTGTTTTATTCTTTTCTAAATGAAAGCCATAGGAACAGTGGTTTCTGGTTGGGTGGGGATGGGAAGGGGAGTTGGTATTGAGTGAGCACAGTTTCTGTTTTCAAGATGAAGTTCTTTGGGATGGATGCATGCCGTCGAGTGTGGTTAATACCACTGAACTGTACCCTGAAAAGTGGGTAAGTTGTAAACTTTGTGTTAATGTGTTTTCTCATAATAAAATAATCTGTTAAAAAAAAAAAAAGCGAGTCCATGCACCTGTGGCTCACACCTGTAATCCTAGCTATTTGGGAGGCTGAGCTCAAGAGAATTTCAGTTCATAGCCAGCCCCAGACAAATAGTTCTCCAAAAAAAAAAAAAAAATCACAAAAAAGGGCTGGTGAGTGGTTCAAGTGATAGAGTACCTGCCTAGCAAGCATGAGGCCCTGAGTTCAAGCCCTGGTACTGCCAAAAAAAAAAAAAAAATGATAGGAAATGCTACAGGACTTGTGGAGAGAGAACTGAAAACCAGTCAACCTGCGTTCCGTGCATGCCTGTGTCTCTCCACATGCCTGTTTGCACAATGTGACCACAAGGAATAGCATTTTGTAATCCTGTGTGAGGCCATCGTGGATATTCCAGAACCCCAGCCCCACACAACTCGGAGTGGTAGGCGTGACTGGCGCACAGTGTGGCCATAGTCTACCTGGAGGAGCATTTCATGCTCCAGATGTGCTGTGCCTTGGATTGGATCAGGATCCTCTCACAAGAGGAGGAACAGCTGGCTCTGAAGCCAGCCTTCTTTTTTTTTTCTCTCTCTCTTTCCCTCCCTCCCCCCCTCCCTTTCTTTTTTTTTTTTTAGTACTAGGGATGAAACCAAGGCCTTGTGCATGCTAGGCAAGCTATCTACCACATACCTAGCCCTTTGGGTTTTTATTTTGTTTTTGAGATAGGGTCTTGCTAACTTTGCCTGCACTGGCCTGGAGCTCTCCATCCTCCTGCCTCCACCTCCCAAGTAGCTGAGATTACAGGGGAGCCCCACCATATCCTGCTCAGATTTATGGATCCCGAAGCATTCTGGCACATTAGTGAGCATTGACGCTGTTTGGTGCTGCCCATAGCTTTTGCATGAAATAGGAGCGGTCTTGTAATTTTCCCCATTTACTCAAGCTGTCTTGCAACAAAAATACTAATCCTTTATAAATCATATAAGCTACCCATATTCCCTATTTCATTGTGAATTTTCTTTTCTTTTTTAGCAACAGAAAGCTTTTCCATGTGTCTTGGTGTCTGTTAGACTTTATTACTTTGTGAATTTATTTTTCAGTCTCTTAATTTAGAGTGTTCTCTCCTCTCTAGGGATTTGCTGAGTTTTAAGGTCTCTTCTCTTTCCGTTGATATGTTTTTAAGTTTACTGTTCTTTAGTCTTTCTGGAATTTGCAGTTTCTGTATGTGACACTTTGTCATGTGGCTGGTATATATATCCCTTCCCTCTGTGTAGCGGCCACCTGCCACACCCCCTGCACTGCCCATTCCTGGTTCCCCACGCCACTGATTCCCAGGGTCACTGAGTGTCAGGTTCACTGTGTGTAGATACTGTTTCCTGTGGGTTCTGCACCGGGACCAATGTCACACTGCCTCTTGGTGTTCCCAGTGAGTCAGACTAATGTGTGCTAGGAGTTTTGCAGTCCCTCTCCTAACACACTGCCTGCCTCAGCTGTCCCATAGCTCAGAACAAGTTCTGGTACATTGTGCCTGAGGTCTTCAAGGTCCCCACTGTTTGCAAATCTTGCCTTGGGCCTAGATGCTAAGTACAGCAAAGGAGCCGCTGGGGAAGGCAGGCTTAAAGGGGATCACTGCTCCTCCTCCAGCTGTGATTTATCTGCCCTTCAGGGCGTCCATGCTGCTGCCCCAAACAGGAAGCTCTTCCCCCCCTTGCCTGGCTGCTCCATGGAGTCCACCCTGGTTACCATGTTCACCCCCCTGTCCCTTGCTTCTGTGTGGAAACAATCCTGTGGTTTACTGGCCCAGGCCCAGGTCAGGCCCTCAGTATATGTCATCCTAAATTCCCAGAATACTTTTGCCTCATCAGGATCATTCCTGTTTCAGAGGCAAAATTCTCAGCTCAGAAAGGCAGTGAGCAGCAGAGCAGGCTGGAGCCCAGGTGTGTCAGAGCCCTGCACTCCCGGGGCCAGGGACCTTGTAGTTGTTGGGGCTAGGGACTGTGGAAGGGAGGTCATGGGCCCTGGAGTTGGGTGCTGAGTCTAGGGGCAGAGCTGGGGGCCCCTCTCCACCTGGCCAGGCCCTGCTGTGGGCCTAGGAGTGAGGTTGCAGGACACTGGGAAGACTAGCCACGCCCCCTCCTCCCTGGGAGTTTTGGGGATTGCCTTGGATTTCCTGGCCTGTTTGGGGCAGAGATGTGAGGCAAGGAATACCTTGGGAACATTTGTGGATTTATCAGAGCCTGCCATCCAGTGTACAGTGTGACACAGCACCAGGCCTCTGCCTGTTTGCCCTAAACAGGAGAGGGTAGTAGGCTCACAGTGGCCTGCAATCTGAGGGTAGGGATGGGACACCTGGCTCCTGACCCAGCCCAGTCTGAGAGGGCTTCTTGGAGGAAGTGTGGCCTGAGCTGAGGTTTCACTCAACCAAGGTCAAGCCAGGGGTGGACAGTGAAAAGGAAGGTTTTGGGGGAGACAGAAACATGGATGAAATTGTTGGGGGTCGGACAGGTAGAGCGGGTGGAACACAAGACCAGGTCCTACCAGGGAGTCTGGAGGCAGCCTTGCTACTGAGGCCTGGCCTTGGTGGCTGCCCCAGACAGTGTGTGTGTGGCCATATGCTTCTGAATGTTTGTTAGCGTTTTGGAGAGTGATGAGCCCTCCCTCCCCTTTCTACATTCTGCCCTTACCCTTGGGTCTCTAAGTCACCCTGGTGAGCCAGGCTCAGTGGCCAGGAAGGTCCCAGCGAGGACACAGATTGTCTTCTGCCCTGCTGGGGCCTGGGACCCACCTGCTGTGGTGGAGGCTGCAGGAGTAACCTCAGCAGCTGACCAGGCTGGCTGGGGTGGGGTGACAGTGGCTCAGCTCGGTGGGTGCAAGGGGAGGGTGGTCTGCGTGCTGGACTGGCCGCTCCTTTTGGGCAGGAGCTTGGTGACAGCTGGAACTGTGTGCCGCAGGGGTAGCGAGTGGCGAGTGAGTGACCGTCCCACTTCTCTTGCAGGGAGCCCGCCCGTCATGTCCAGGTGAGACAGAGGGGCGCCGTACTGAACATGCTTAGGAGGCTGGACAGGATCAGGTTCAGAGGCCACAAGAGAGAGGACTTCCTTGACCTAGCAGAGTCCCCAAATGCCTCGGACACTGAGTGTGGAGACGAGCTCCCTCTGAAGATCCCTCGGACCTCACCCCGGGACAGCGAGGAGCTCAGGGACCCTGTGAGTACAACCCCCAGTGTCCTTGTTGTCCCTTGGTGTATGCTGGGGTGTCTTCCTCTGCACTCAGGTGGCCAAGCCGAGTGTGATGCAGGCAGATTTCTCCAGCCCGGGCTCGATAGACACACTTGCGGTGCCATTCCCCATCCCTTGTTTTGCTCCCCCTGTTTCCTGCTTCACCATCCCCCAAAGACCCCGCTATACAGAGCGCTTGTCCTGGATGAAGCCTTTTCTGTACTGGGGTTTGTCCAGTGGCAGCATTTTTTGGCCTCTGCCATTGGTTTTTTGGGGTGGTTGACAAACTCTGAATGCAAAAGTGACGTTGAGACCTCTCCCATCAGCGCTGGCGTGGGGCTAGGGCAGGGCAGGGCCCACCTGGAAACACCTGGCACCTGGCTTGTGTGTCTGACCCCGCTCAGGTGTACGGTACCAACTCCTGGCCGCGGGCTGAACGCTTATCTGCATGCAGTGGTCAGTCGTGGGGGGGGGGTGCTACATTCAGGAGGCAATTGTCTCCTGAGCTCCTCAGCCAGGCCTGTGTCCTGGGGGCCAACCACACTGAGTGGGCACTGCCTTCCAGGAGCTCATGTTTCCTGGGGGAGAGGTGCATAGAGTGGGGTGGGGCACACGCTCTGAAGTCCCTTCTCTACACAGGCCCTTTTATCTCAGGCTTGCTGTGTTGCATACATGTGCCAAGTCCTCCTGCCAGCTGTGAATGGATGTCCCCCTGCTGTGGTGGCCCACTGTTTTTTTCTCCCTACCCCAGAACCAGGATTTTTCTCCAGATGCCTGCAATCATCGGTTTTCCCAGCTCCTTCTATCGTGAATGTGTTGTAATAGGGTGGCAGCTGTGCCTTGCTCCTGGCAGGAATTAGTAACTCACCAGCGCTGTCTCCTTAGAGCCTGGCTGCCCGCCATACGCTGCCAGTCAGGCACGTGGGGTGCTTGCCTTCCCCTGCCCAGCCTGACTTGTGTTCAGTGCTGTCTCCAGTGTTCAAAGACTGGTCCTCTAGCTTTTGGCCTAAGGGTGGGCCAGGTCCCTGGCTTGGTGTGTCCGCTCATGCCAGCAACATCAGCAAGGCCTGACATGAGAACCGTCTCTTCTGGTGCTGGTCACATGGAGGGCTGTGGGCCACAGGTCTGGAATGTTGGTCTTTGAGCTGAGTGTGCTGGGGACATCTTAGGACAAGAACCCTCCCCCCTCCAGACGTGATCCTGAGCTCAATGGGACAGGGACCCTATAGAGACTGAAGCTGGGCTGTTCTGACTCTTACTCCTTCTGTCTGTCTGTCTAGCCAGAGCTGTGTGGCAGCCACCTTGCCCGGGAATGGTGTAAATAGAGACCCTGCCTGGACCTGCACCCTCCCATCTGGGTGTGCACATGTCTAAGGTGGACGTGAGGCAGTATGTGGGAGAAGAGGGCAGTACATGGGGTCTCGAGGGCCAGTCACCTGGGATGAAGCCTTACTCGGCTGTCGCAGTTGCCATTGGCTTGTGCAGGCCTCAGGCACTGTCAGACTGGGCTGCCAGAAGGCTTTGAGAGTGTGATGAGCACAGGGACCAGGTGTAAGGTTGAGGGGGTCTCACAGCAGGTGCGGGCTTTGGTGTTGGTAGATGGCAGGGTTCGGCAGGGGATAGCCTTTGGGTGGGAGCTATGCCCCTGGACCACACCCTGCCCAGAGCCATGTTCTTCTAGACCACATTTTGTGGCCACCTGAGGGCCGTTGGTCCAGCTGTAGGACTGCAGGTAAGTGGAGGGACTGGGAGAGCTCATGAGCTTGAATTCTGGGGCTTTTCCATGTCCTCCTTAGATGGCTTTGCTTACCACTGTTCTGTAACCGCCGTTACAGAAGACAGTGTGTCTTGGGTGTGCTGTGGTGGTAACTGGAGACAGGGCAGCAGTGGGAGGCGGGGACACAGGACCATGGTGGTCTTGATCAGGGGCAAAGTGTGTGGGCTTGGGGGCATCGGGAGCCCCTGCAGGGGAGGATCACTGTTGGAGCTGGCTCCTCCAAGGAGATGAGTTGAGGAGTAGTCTGGAGAATGTGGGCTCCTGGGTGGTGCAGAGAGAACTAGAAGGAGCAAGAGAAGACATGCCTGGGCATGGGACTTCTTGGATGGGGGCCAGGGTGGGGTCACAGGAGGGATGGGCTATGGTCGGTATGGCTCTGATGTGCAAATTGCCATCTATGGGGCAGGAATGTCCTGGGGGACACACTGATTTGGGAGTGGCTTGGTGCCTTGGGCTGTGGCTGAGGGAGGGGAACAGATGCTGAAGAGACTTTGGCAAGGTCAGACCATGGACCTGGGCTCCTCTGCCTGTGGCACTGGGTAGCCCTGCGGGAAAACCTGCAGGGACTCGGATGTTGGGGATCACAGGAAATCCTACTGTGTGTTCCAGAGGAGAAACAGGCTCTGGTGCGGGGCTCTGTGTGAAATGCCGCAGCACTGACTGCAGAGAGGCCAGCTGTTTGGCCTTAGCCAGACCCTCAGTTTTAAAGAGGGACAGCAGTACTGTCGCCCTCTAGACTGCTTTGAGAGTCACACAAAAAAGTGCTGGGCCAGCCCTGGTCCGCTGTTAGCATGCAGACAGCCACGAGTACCAGTGACTGTGAGTGACTGTGGACGGTGATGCAGGCCCTCCTCCCTGGCCCATGCCCCTTTTACAAAATCTCTTCCCTGTTGCACATAGGGCCTGCTCTGGGGTCACACTCCTGAGGTCCCTGTGTGAGAGTGTGCACAGTGCATGCCCTCCCACACCCCAGGCCACCCTCCTTTCTACAGAGGTGACAGTGGCCCTCCTTTGTGGCATCTTCCTGGGGGCAGCACAGAGGCTTCAGTGGTCAGTTGATATGATGGCACCCTTGTGGGAGAATCCTCTCAGCATACAGGGGCCATCACAAGTGTGCAATTCAGAGGGTTCTAGTGCATTTTCCATATCATACAGCTGTTGATACAATCAGCTTGAGCACATTCCTGTCACCCCAAAAGAGACCCCGTATACTTTAGCAGTCACTCCTTGCGACTCTCTCACCTACAGCCTCTGCCCACCACCAGCCTGTACCCTGTCTCTGTCAAGTCGTCTGGACATTTTCTGCAAAAGGAGTCCCACTGCACGTGGCCTTTGGTGTCTGGCTTCTTTCACTCGGTGTCGTGTTTAAGGTCTGTTGGGTTGCAGCTCATTCCTTTCGTAGCTGATTGAGGCTCTGTGGTTTGGATAGACTGCATTTGTTTATCCACGCATCTGTTGGTGGACCTTAGGTTGTTTCCACTTTAGGACTGTGACAAATAAGGCTAAACATCTGTGAAAATGTTTTCTTATGAACATCTGTTTTCATGTGGAGGCCCTGGATCACGTGGACACCCCATGCTTCACTTCTGAGAGCCTGCTACAGCAAATTCCCAGGTGACTGGCCGCCTTCCCACTTCTGTATGCAGGTCTGCGGGCTCCCTGGTTGGCACAGACAGACAGACCACTCTCCCTGCTACTCTGAGGCTCTCTTCTCTGAGGTGGCACTGAGCTGCTCATCCTGTGAGCTCAGGCTCCCGCTGGTGGATGTGCCATGCCACCGCCCTGACTCTCACCTGGGGGATGCTGGGCCTCCTGACTTGTGGAACCTCTTGGTCTCTGAGTCACTTGCTGTGGGCTGCATCACCCTCAGGTGGTGGACAGGTCAGGGCGTCAGCTGCACTTGTCTTTCTGATGGCCACCACAGGCTGCCATCCTCTGAGCTGTGTAATTTGTGTCTGTGGCTGCCCAAGGTCCCTGCTCGCCTTGGCCCCAGCATGCCCTGCTCCAACCAGCACACATGCTGACCCCAGCACCAGTGTCCTCAGGCACATCTAACTATTGACTCTGGCCAAAACGGAAGCTCCAAGTAGCTTCAGCCTCTGTGGCTCTTATTATGAGGGCAGAGGTCATCTTTGCCTGCATTTAGACTTCACTCTTTTTATTTTATTTATTGTGATAAAATACTGTAGTATAAAATTTGCCATTTTAATTATTAGACAACAGTTCAGTGCAGCCTTCACCAGAACTTTCTCAGGGTAAAACTGTCCCATTAAGCCCAGCTCCTGTTCCTCCCAGCCCCTGGCAGCCCATTCTGCTTTTTGACTGTGACTCTGACACTCTGGGGCCTCCTGAGTGAACTCACGCAGCACCTGTCCTTTGTGACTGGCTTATTCACTGAGTGGTGTCCTCAAGGCTCATCCAGTCCATGGTAGCAGGTTAGGCGTGTTCCCATTTGCTTTTTGGGACATCTATTTGTGTCCTGGGGCAGAGTGGTAGGAGGGAAGAATCCAGACCCCATTGGGAGGGGAGGGGAGGCAGAGGGGAGAAAGGAGGAGCTGAGGGCAGGGAGGAGTCCTGGGTGAGAGCCAGGAAGTGGTGTACAAGGAGGACGCAGCAGTCTGAGGTGACTTCCTGGTCAGGCCGTGGCAGGGGAGGAGCTGGAGTGAAGAGGAGAGGTGAGGGTGGGAGGCGGGGTCCTCCCTGTGGCCAGTATCAGAGCTCTAAGGAGGTAGCAAGCAGGAAGTGGGCATCAGGGATCCTTAGAGCTGGGGACAGCATCCGGGTGACTCCACCCACAAAAAGGCCAAGGGACAGATGCCTCAGAGAGCAGGAGATGGAAGAGCGTCCCCAGAAGATTTAACCCCCCCTCACCACCACCCCCCGCCCCCAGGGCTGAAGGAAAGACCTGACAGGTCTTAGTACAAGAAACAGTTCTGGAAAAGCTAGAGAAATGGACACATGGCCACCATCCCTCTATTTCACAGTGACTATGCCATTGTTTTGGTCCCGTGTCCAGGCTCCTGGCCCCAGCTCAGGGTTGTTCCTTCTAAGCCTGAGAAAGAGCCAGCTGGGAGACCCAAGGGACTTGCAGAGGGCATCAGACCCCAGAATTCCAGGGTGGCCACCTTGCACCCCCATCAGGGGCCCTGCCAGCTGGACAGGTCCACTGGAACCATCTCACTGCCCTGGTGTCTGGGGAACTCCCAGCAGAGCTGAGGCTTCTTTTGCACCAAGACCACCAGAGTCCTCAGAGCTGTGAGGAAACCCTGAGGCCCAGGTCTCTGGGACCCAGGCCAGGACACCCATCCAAGGACAAGGGTTAGTGCATTTGAATACAGCCATCCAGCCTAGCGATGCACTGCTTATTTTGGGGGGGGGGGGGGAATTCTGGAGACATCAGGGTTGACCATTCTGCCTCTGAACCAAGGCTGAGCTGCTTGTCCTGCTGGCCCACCCCTGCTGTCTCCTGTCATGTGGCCACCTGTGCCCTTTGAGGCAGGTTGGTATGCAGAGTGAGTGGACAGAGGCCCTGTGGCGTTCTGAGCTTCCTTGTCTCCCCTCACTCACTTGGAACTCACCTGGCTTGGGCTAAGAACAGAGCATCATCAAACCTGGTTTTGTGGGTCACCCTGGAAACACGACATTAGCTGTAGACGCCATGGCAGCCGGGGGGCTGGAACTTTCTCCATTTTGCTGTCTGTCTGCCTATCTTGCACCTAGAGGGATAGCACATACAACTGGGATGTAAGGCGTGTTGGGGTGTCTGCACTATGCCACACTACACCCAGGAAGCTCCTTTCTGGGGCCATTATCCCTATTTGACAGATAAGGAAACTGAGGCATAGGAGGTGGTTATACCCAAGATCATGCTGAAAGTCACCAACAGAGTCAGACTAGGCTGGACTCTGGGTTCTGAGGACCCCAACTTCACTGCTTAGCACAGGCTGTAGAGGCTCTCAGGTTCCTCTTCCCACACACTCATCTGCCCACCTGTGTTCTGAGAACCCCTCCCTGGCCTTCCTTCCCTCCCCCTGAGGTCTGTGTCCCCTGTCCTTCTAGTCACAGTCAGGCACTTTTGATTTTGGGCCTTGGGACATCTTCTGTGGGAACAGAATTGTTTCATGGCAGTTTGTCTCCTGTCCTCTCTGGGGAGCCCTCCCATCTCAATAAAGGTAGGGGATGAGAATGAGGGGACGTAGCTGTACATCCTGGTTTTGTCCCTGGCTACCAGCTGACTGCTCCTCGCTTCCTTCCTGTCCCTGGGATGGACATGACTATGGGGCTAAGTAGCCTGCACTTCAGCAGATGAAGGTCATGCAGACTTGGAGAAGCGGTCAGTGGGGCTCTAGCTTTCTGCCGTCTTTCCTGGGGCTGGCATCCTTGAAGTAGACCAGAGGAGGAACGGGCCAAGGCCGCTAGCTTCTTGGGGCTCAGCCTTGCCTTGCCACAGAGGAAGGGGACCTTTATTCTCCAACATCCCTCGAGGAGATTGCAGTGGACTTCATCGTGGGAAGGGCAAACCACATCTCGGGACAGGCTGGGCAGGCTGCATAAGGCTGTGCTCTGTCCTCAGTGTGGTGCTACAGGAGATGGGGGAGGGCTTGGGTCTTGTCATTCACAACCCTTCGCTAACCTTTGGATGTCTCTCAGGCAGGGCCTTAGCCCACGTCCACTCCTGGGCCATCGTCTGGCCTGGCTCCCCCGGGTAAGGGGAGCAAACAGGCCTGCTGAGCCAGGTGTTGCACTCATGCTGTGAGCCTGCAGGTTTTGGGGACAGAAAGAGTTAGTGAAATACTTAAAGTATGTTCCCTTGCAGGTGGCCCTGTGGAGTGCAGGTGAGACCAGAGGGCAGCCAGGCATGGGATAGTTCCTAGGGGTGGTGGGGGCTGCCAGGTCTTATTTCAATTCAGCATTTATGATCTTCTAGAGACAGGCCTTGCCTTACAACGCTGGGAGCAGAGTGACTAGGTAGAACTCCAATGCTAGGAGAGTGGGTAGATCCTTCAGGAGGTGCAAGAAGCCTAAGGAAGGAGGAATGGAGATGAAGTCAGTCTGTGTTTCTAGAACCAGCCTGAGGTGGAGGCCTGAGGAACCGAGGGTGTGCCTACCGACCCACTCAGCATGTGGGGATGGAGGGTGACAATGGGCAAAGGCAGGAGCCTGGTGCTGGCTTGGGTCATCGGTCAGGCAGCCCAGAGCTGCCCACAGCAACTTAGAGATGACCAGATTACATGTGGGCCAAAGTTTGTGCTTAGGATTTTAAAAGGAATTTTTAATGTGTGTGTAATATCCCAAACTCCTAGCACACTTGAATTCAAAGCATGTGTGGGAGCTCATTTGTCTCATGTACGACCACGGCCACTGCTGGACTGTCCTGCTGCTTCTGCCCCTGGAGGATTATGGAGCAGATGACAGGCATTTGATCATTCGTCCTTAACATGTTAGGGACTGGTCTAAAAGATAAGGGCTGGTGGTAGCCAGCCACAGTGTAAGTTGTGTACCGTTCCCTATAACTATGTCTTTGGGGGGCACTGCACACAGGCTGCTGCTCGGGTTTCACTGGACCTTCCCTAGATTCTGCAAGCTCATCTGGGGTTAGTTGACTCAGAACCACCTCTGAACAGATGTTTAGACTCTGACATCTGCCCCATGGCTCCGAGCTGACACCTACCTGGCCCACACCTGAGCTGTCTCGGGGCCTGCCTGGAATGGCAGGGTCCATTGCTGCATTGGCTACAGCACAGGTGTGTCCTCCTGGGGCATCTGTCCTCTGGACCCAGGCTTTAGGGGTCAGTAGTGCTCATGGCTTCCAGCACCCAGGCCCACCAGCCTGCTAGAACAGGTACCCCATGTATGGTCCTCATGTGTCAGTAACGGTGGAGGGAGTGAGGCTGATCGGCACCTATGGGGTCTCTTGGTTAGGTCAGGTAGATGAAGCTGTCCTGCCTTCAACCCATCTCCAGTCTCCACCTGTCGCTGTGCTAGGACCTACGAGGGCAGCAACTGACTACAGCCTGGGCCCTGCCCACATGAGCTGGTGCTATAGTAGCCAGAGTGGCTGAAGGTGTGAGTTAGGTGCCCAGGGAAGGACAACCACAGCCTTTCCCAGAGCCTCTGGCCCCATCAGCTCCTTGGACACAGGCTGTGGTCTCTGGGAAGGTGACACACGTGCAGGTAGTATCCACAGTGCTGCTCCAGGCTGACCTGTCCATGCCATGTGTATTTTCTTGCCTGAGGAAGGGGTCAAGGGACCCAGGCAGGGAAGTCAGGTCCCTACTCACTGGTGGGGCCCTTGTGTGCCATTTCTTGCTGGGTCAGCAATAGGATGCAACCATGGAGGGTGACCATGTGTGTACCCGTGTCATCAGAGCAAGCCTGGCTTTGTGGGTAGGGTCATATTCATTTCCCTCTGGTCAGCAGGATACACAGCGGCCACCTGTGACCAGCCCCTGGGCTTGTAGCATTGACCTCAAGGACCTGTAACTAGAGCTGACCCTCAGCTGCTGGAACCGTGGGTTAGTTAGCCACTGTCTGTGGGACAGACAGGAGGAGGCCCTGGTTTGGGATTTGCTCAGCCTAGGTCCCCTCAGACCTCATCCTGCCTAGGAGCCATTCTCCTTTCTGACTCATGCAGCATGGTGTGGACACCTATGGGCCCCAGCTCCCGTCGTGAGAGTGACCCCCTACAGTCTGGGGGAGGGGACTACAGGGCGGCTCCGAGATTTCTTCCCTCTCCTGGTATTGCCATACCAGGAGGCTTAGTGCCTCACTTGGTCTTCATTTTGTATATTCTTTCTTAAAGTTGATCTCACCTTGGCTCTGAGGGTGTCCTCACGGTTAGAGATCCCAAGGTGGGCTGATGCACTGGTGTTGGTCTTACTGCACAGCTTGTGTCTTCCTTGTCCCATGGGTTCAGGCAGGTGTGGGTGGGGCCCCCTGGCCATCAGGCCAACCTCGTGTCCTGGAGGCGGTGGCTGCTGTCCTGAGTTCTCAGGCTGTGTAGAACCAACTGATGTAGACAGAGAATGCTTCTGTGTGGCTGCCTCTGAGCTCTTGGTGTTTTCCTTCCAGGCTGGTCCAGGGACCCTCATCATGGCTGCAGGGGTCCAAGACTTTAGCAGGACAGAGTGTGATCGGCTGAATGAGATCAAGGGTCACCTGGAAATCGCTTTACTGGAAAAACACTTCCTACGTGAGTATCAGAATGTGCTTGTAGGGGACAAGCCACTGCAGAGGTGGGGATGAACTGGAATGCTAACTTGCTGACATGTTCTCAGGAGCTCTCCTGGGCACAGGCGTGGGGACAGGCATGGGCCTGTGTGGCTCTTCACACTTGGAAGTCCCTGAACCACCCTTTGCTCCTGATTGTGTCTCCTACTTGCTACTTTATGAAGCCCAACCCTGGACTGTGATTGGCGCATGGGGTGAGGGAGTTTCAGGGGCAAAAAAATGAAATGTTCCCTGAAAGTTTGGATTACTTTAGAGAATCTGGCACAGAGGTTTTCAACAGTTAACTTAGGATTTCTCAGAGCTTTTCAAAGGAATCTGAAATTCTGTGTTTATTCTGTTTAGTTTATGCATCAAGGAGGGAGGAGACACTGGGATGTGTCATCTGTGAGCCTTCCCCACATAGTCCCTGCTTAGTGGGATTTTGGCATTTGGAACAATGAGAGGAGGAGATGGCTACTGAAGGTCCTGCCGGTCCTTGGGGATGTGATCCTGCTGACGTCTCACTTTTGATCCTTCCACCTCATCTCCATGTCCTCTAGGTTTTACAGATGAGGAAACTGAGGCACAGAGGGTTGACTAAAGTCACCCTACCTTTGGGTGAACTTCTTTAACTAGTAATGGTTTAAACCAGGCCGACCAGCCCCAAAGCTCATGCATTGAACCCCACTGTGTGACACAGTGTTGTCATAGCTGATGCCATGGTGGAATCGATGCTATTAGGGGGAAGGTACAGGGAGAGGTAGCTTCAGCCTGTGTGCCTCAGCCCTGTGTCACTGAACTGTGCAGAGCAGAGCCCAGGGGAGGGGTCTATTGCAAGGGGTGGCCTCTGCTAAGGCAGGGACTGAGGATGGACACCTGTGCACTCACACCCACTCTGAAGCAGAGATGCAGAATGAAGCCGGCCTCAGCCCACAGTGTGTGTGGGGAAGACTTCCCTGGAGCTGACAGACCCATAAGGAAAAGTGCAGAAGTGGCCTCTGTGGGATGCTGCTGCTGGTGTCCTGGGACCACACTCACAATCCTTTCCTCAGTGTTAACAAAGAAGCATTCCTCCCACTCCTTGGTGGCTCCTGAGTGGGAGTGTGGAGTTCAACTGACATCTATAGGGGGAGAAGTTAGGGGCAGTATTTTTTAATTCCAAAAAATTTCTAATGTACACAGAAATGGAGCAAATAGTGTTATGAGCGCTCGCCAACACCCAACACAGGAACTGGTTTGGGGCCAGGCTGGCTTCCTCCCGACCTCCTTCTCTGGGTATTTTGGAAAAATCCCAGCCAGTATCTTATTGGTTCATCTATAAATATTTTATTGATAGCTCAGTCTGGTTTAAAGACAAAAGCCATGAGTCCATTTTGACAAAGAGAACAACAAACAGCTTTTCTTTGGTTTCATCAGATATCCTGTTGCAGCCCAAATTTCCCCGATAAGCTCAAATTTTTTAGAAATCCTCTTTGAACTGACAGTTCTTGAGGTCCGTGGGTGGGATTAGCTGCTATGTCTCCTCAGTCTTTACTCTGCAGTTCTCACTCTGTTGCTTTTTACCCTTGGGGACTGTGTCACCTGCTGACAGTGTCCTTGTGGACTCAACACATGGCCTAATGTGTCCCCATACACTGTCATTCCTGTTCCTCCCTCGTGGCGGGATCTGGTGGGTCTTTGGGGAGGACCCTTTGCTGGTGTTGGTGTGTTCTGGCAGAGGTGGGCTGTCTCTGATATCGCAGGGGATAATTATTGCTGAGAGCCGTCTTTCATCAGAGTGCAGAGTGACAATGTTTCTGAAGACAAACTTCCTTTTGCCGACTGTTTGGCTATCCTGAGGTGTGGCGCGCGTGGGAGATGCAGCACACATGCTTGAGCTTCCTCCCTTTATTTTCCAGTTTTAAAGTAATGAGTTGAATCCTCCACTACAGACCAGCAAGGGTGGTAGCTCTTGTGGGAGTTTTGGAGTCATCCTGAGGTCATAGATCAAAGCCCACTCGACATGTTTTTGTCACTGGTTATTATTTACTGTTGCTCACGTACAGGACTGTGGGAACCTCGGAGGTGGTGTCTGAGTCCTTTTCCCAGTGCGACAAGATGTTCCAGGTTTGTCACAAACATTTCCTTAATCATTTTTTGAAACAGCCCTAGTTCCTTTTGGTGGAAAGTGATGTTTAGAGACTGATTGAGGATTCCAGGGCATTCACTGAATGTTCTGAGTTCTCCGTGGCCACAGCCAGGGCACCATGGGTCCGTACAGATAATCTGATGGGAACTTACAAGCAGATCTCCTGGGTTTCTATCTGACCGCACTGGACCTTCATCATACCTCTGCGTCTGGTTCTCAGAGGGCGGTCACAGCCTTGCTCATCTGTTTTATCCACAATAATATATAAAAGTGTAGAGCTGTTGTCCCCTGGTGGGTCACTGAGTACACTTTGTATTTGTCTCTTGTTCTTTTCTCCTTGGGCGACGTCCCACTAGGAGGGATTTTCCTCTTCACGGCTGTGTTGCCATGCTGTGTAGGGCTGGGCTCCATTTGTTTCTCTGCACTTGAAACTTTTGCAGATTACCTTTGTTTTCTTTTAACTTTTTATTTTGCCGGGAAGACTTACCAGGAAGTTACAAAAATAGCACAAAGAACTCCTGTATATTTTTCATCTAGTTATTCCTCTCTCTCATCTGTCTGCTTTCCATCCCCCTCTCATCCCCCATTTATCCACCTACTCAGGTGCACATGCATCTGTCCATCCATTCCTTCGCCCACCTATCGATCCATCCACCCTGTATCCATTCATTTGTTCATTTATCTGTCTGTCCATCTGTCCATCACAGTATTTTTTTCAGAGCTGCCTGATGGTCATTTACAGACATGATGCCTCTGAGTTTTAAACACTCTGGCCTGTTTCCTAAAAGCAAGGATATCCTTGCCAAGCACAGTAGCTCAAGTTTGTAATCCTAGCTACTTGGGAGGTAGAGATCAGGAAGATCATGGTTCGAGGCCAGCCTGGGCAAAAAGTTCTCAAGACCCCCATCTCAACCAATCAAAGCCAGGCATGATGGTGCACACTGGTCATCCCATCTTTGGGGAAACTGCTTGGGAGAATCATGATCTGGGCTGGCCTGGGTGTAAAGTGAGACCCTATCCAAAAATAATTAACAAAAAAAAGGCTGGCGATGTGGTTCAAGTGTAGAACTCCTACCTAGCAAACCCAAGGCCCTGAGTTCAAACCCCAGTACTGGAAAAACAAAAAACCCATAAGGATAGTCTCTTATGTAACCATAGTATGGTCATTAAACTCAGGAAATACAGAACTTAGTATAAGTTCACTCTCTCTTCCAAGTTCACTATTTTTCCCTTAATGTCCTTTCTAGTAAAAGCAAGTTCCGTGTCATGAGTTGTGTTCTGTCCCTTTAGACTCATTTTCCCTCAGCCCGTCTGTTTCTCCATATTGACTCTTCTGACGAGCACAGGACAGTTCTTTGACAGAATGTGCTCAGTTTACATTTGTCCTCTGTGGTCACATGGAGAGACTGTGGTCTTGTGCCCAGTGTCACAGACGTTGTGGTGTCTCCTCAGTGCATCCCATCAGGAGGGGCACAGTGTCATCACATCCCTTTATATGAAGTGTCAAAAGTTCCTATTTAAATTAAGTTCTCATAGCTTACCAAAATTGCTTATGACGGCTGGAGCCTGTAGTCGCTGCTTAAGTCTGAGGCACGAGGATCACAGGAGCTCAGGAGTTTGATGTCAGTCTGAATAACATAGTGAGACCCTGTCTCAAAAATAAATGCGATCAAGTAAAATTGGTTACCTGGGTCCAGAGTCAAGGTGTAGTCAGAGAACTGGAGTTTCTCTCCCCATGGTCATATATCTGTGGATAACTGATTTTCTTTTAATTTTACACTAATTCCATCCACTAACTTTTTTATAGAAACAAATATGTGTATTTTTCTTAGTTCCCCCCTTGGCACACATTAGTGCACTCACACTTACATTGTATCCTGGTGGTGCCTCTAACACAGTACCTAGAGATAGGCCCATTCTGTTCATATCTGCCTCTGTGGTGTGGCTGTGGTATGGTTTAATCCCTTTCTTCCCTGTTGATTGACAGTTACACTGTCCCAGTCTTCTGCTGTTGGAGTTAGTTATAGGTGGTTCTAACAGGGCTGTCTGCACCTGCAGTTATGGGCAGGACCTTGCGTGATATCTTGGATGCAGAAGGAACCCAGTGAGTGGAAGTTAATTGCAGAAAAGCTGGTCTGTGCCTTGCCCCCAGTATGGTGTCCTTCTCAGCTCCTGGGGGTGTACAGTATGTAAGAAAGGGGGTTATATCATCTTGGGGTGTTTTGGCTGACACCATGTGCTAGCTTGGCCATCTTGCCTTTCCTGGTCTGTGGAGGGGCTCCATGCTAATGTGTGGTGTAGAGAGGGAATCTTTTGGGATCCAGACACTCCTTAGCAGGTCATTGGGAGCACTTACCCATTCGGGGCATTAGCTCCCCTGTCTGAGATCACCTAAATAATGAAGCATTAAAACTTCATTTATTATCTGAGTACTTTCTCTCAGACCATCATTCTTCATGGAGGAGAGGAAATTGCCCAAGGTATAGCAGGCTTCTTCAGTTTTTAAATATTGAAGAGTACAAATGTCCCCATGGGAAAATGACATGAGATGAAGAAGGTGAAGTTGAAATGTCTCAGCCCTGACTGAAGGCAGGAGCCTTAATTTGTGAAAGAAGTGCATAGATAGGTGAGCAACGCCGTCCCTTTTCACTCAGCCCGAAATGCACTTCAGCTTATTGTGGTTTTTGGAGTGCAAATGCATTCTATTGCATGGTTTCTAAGCATGAGTATGCATTTATTGATCACCTGCTGTGTGCAGGCTCTGGGAAGTGAGATTCTCCAGCATTGTAAGGCACATACTCAGTCTCCACCCAAAAGTAAGTTGGCATGAAACTGAGTTTTGGAGAGGAAGTGTTTCTGGGGACCCTCCTGGCTGCTTGGCTCTGCTGGGGGGATCCATGTAGGTCCTGAATGTGAAGGCCCCCCCCCCCCCCCCCCCCCCCCCCCCCCCCCCCCCCCCCCCCCCCCCCCCCCCCCCCCCCCCCCCCCCCCCCCCCCCCCCCCCCCCCCCCCCCCCCCCCCCCCCCCCCCCCCCCCCCCCCCCCCCCCCCCTCCCCCCCCCCCCCCCCCCCCCCCCCCCCCCCCCCCCCCCCCCCCCCCCCCGCCCCCCCCCCCCCCCCCCCCCCCCCCCCCCCCCCCCCCCCCCCCCCCCCCCCCCCCCCCCCCCCCCCCCCCGCCCCCCCCCCC